ATGTTTAACTCAAGGGGGGGGCTTACATTTGCTTTGCCTTATTGGCTGATATTGGCTGATTGGCTGATACTTTTTTTTAATTAATTTTTGTTTTGTTTATTTCAGGGGACATTTGTTCCAAAACTAACACTTGGCCCATTTCTGGGTGTTAGAAGTGGGCACTAATTGAAAGACTGGGTTTATGGGATCCCGGCCCATATCCATAATATCCCATGTATTTAGGACACCCTGGGAATACAGGAGGATAATATCCCATGTATTTAGGACACCCTGGATTACAGGAGGAAGATAAGAGTTCTCAAAGTCCGTCTTCAAGACAAAAGTTTAAGATCAATCAGCGTTGACGATTCTCAGGTATTTTCTCGTCATGACCGCCGATTATTTGAATTCTATATTTATTCGACTGGCCGAAATATTGATTTTTATTACAAAGTCAAAAATATTTGAAAAGAAAAATATTGATTTTTAACGTTTATTTTTGCAACTTGAAAAATAATATTATTTTAGGTTGTTGCAAACCTGATGGTGATAATCTGCACTAAGATTGGTATCACAAACCACGATGAATACAGTCTGGTGAGTAATAAAAAAATTGATGATCATTTATAATCTTAAATGATCATGCGCATGCTCATTAGTGATCAGAAACAAAGAAATAAGTTAAATGATCAAAGACAGAATTTTAAAAGACAATAAAACTATCGTGATTCAGATGTCCTGTTTTATTAGCCACTTTTTTACCCACTTTCAACTTTTTAACCCAAAAAATGTAAATTTTTAGATTTTCTTACTGAAAGATTTTAGATTAAAAAAATATTTGATTTTGAATAAAAGACAAAACTGGACCAAGTTGATGCTGATGGAGCCAGGATAAAACTGTTAAAAGGATCGCACACTTTTTGTCAAGACACCCTGCATTTATAGGATGTTTTCTACGATACACAACGGTACCCGTATAAGCTTTGTCTACGTAAAAATAAGAGAGATTTCTATTCGAAAATTGATTATATACAATTGAGGCTCTCTTTAAAGGTGTATTGTAGATTAATGCAAGAGAGAATTTGGATCAAATTTTCAAGACAAAAGCGTTGATATCTCCCTTATTTTTAGTCAAATAAAGTGTTTCGTTGTGAATCTTTTTTGAATTGAGGGTCGCTTTGAAATACTTAAACAGTCCCTTAAATTCAATGTTGTTCTAGGCCCAGGAGAGGAAGGATGAGGATCAGGAGAACCAGACTCCGAACAACAAGACGAGAACCCTGGGAGGAACCCTCACACTTCGAAGGAAAAAGGGAGATGATAATGAACCCGTTGTGGATTCCAAGATGGCCACCATGAGAAGAAATCTACACACAGAGGACGGAAGTAAGTTTAATTGTTTGTTTTTTTATCTCGACTCTGTTAATTATTGAACCCCATCCCCCTGTTTATATTTTTTCCTGAGTAAAAAACACCAAAATAACAATCTAAATCCTATTTGAAGATTTTAACCCAAATGGTGAAAATTTGTACTTTAAACCCAAGAATACTATTTCCCCAACCTTCGCTAGGGGTCGGGGATTCAATAAGAAAGCTTGAATCTGCTTTCTCCCGCGGCTGGGACTAGTTTCCCCCTCTTGAGGAGGGACCGGGAAATATTTTCCCCCTCCACACTAAAATCTCGGGAAATGGTTCAGTTTGTCTCAATCTCTTGAGCATCCATGAGGTGGGGGAAAACCATCTTTAGAGGGTAATATTTCCGGGTTCTATCCAGGGGAATATTCCTGCCAGGGGGAATTTGACCCGAAAACTATTTTATCCCAATTTTCTGGATTTAATGTAAAGACCTATCTATCTATCTATCTATATATATATATTCCTATCTTCAAGGATCAGAACCTCTTTTCCGTCAATCTTTCAATTTTTTTTCAACTTTTTTTTCAATACTTAAAGTTTTTAAAAATATTACAAAACTAGAAGTTTTGCTATTCAAGATTTAAAAAGTTTATAATACTTTTTGCCAATGAATGATTTTTGAAGTTTTTATACATCTTGTTGAAATTGTGAAAATTAAGACTGGTTCGGATGATGTAAATTCAAAACTATTGTCAAAACTTGTTAATCCGAATTTTACCAACAAAGGAATTAAGTCTTTGCCACAAATTCTGATTTTCTAATTTCAATATCTTTGCCAATCCAATATCGTAGAGCATAGATAGATAACTATGAATTCCGTTGGATCAAATAATCTAAGTTTGAAATATCAAAGGTTCGCCCGTCAGGTTGCAAAGATATAGGAATAAGAACGTTTGAGTTTGTGGCAAAGACTCAATTCCTTTTCTTTTTATCTCGCTGTCCTAAATTTTAATTAAAAAAAAAATTAAGTTAGGAAGTTTAGAGTTAAATGAGTTGTATTTTAAACCATTTGTGGCTTTTAAAAATGTAAATTGATGTATTTTAAAAATGTTGAAAGATACATTGATACATTGAATTAAAGGCATTTGTTTAATCTTACCTTACTCGTTGGAAAAAATTGGATATTACTGAAAAAGTACAATTAAAGTAGTACTCAAGTTAAAAGCACAATTTTCAAATCATCTATCTATCTATCTACATCTCTTTCTATCTTTCTATCTATCTAATATCTATCTAATGTCTATCTATTTACCTATCTAATGTCTGTACATTTATCTATCTATTGTATCTATCTATCAAATATCGATACATCTACCTATCTAATGTCTGTCTATCTTTCTATCTATCTAATATTTATCTAATGTCTGTACATCTATCAATCTAATGTCTGTACATCTACCTGTCTAATGTCTGTACATCTATCTATTTAATGTCTGTCTATCTATCTGTTTAGTTGCTTTTAATGTTAAGGATAGATTGGTAAATAGAACGAAACTAATACTGTTACTGAGATACAGAGATTACACAGATATACACACAGACATACAGAGATACAGACATATAGACACACACTTACATACACCCCTACAGAAATACAGACATACAGAAAAACCTACAGAAATACAGAGAAAATACAGAGATTTAGAGATTGATATATTTAGAGATACAACGAATTTAGAAATACAGAGATTTAGAGATACAGAGATTTAGAGATAAAGAGATTTAGAGATACAGAGATATAGAAATACAGAGATTTAGAGATACAGAGATTTAGAGATACAGAGATTTAGAGGTACAGAGATTTAAAGAAACATAGATTTAGAGTAACGGAGAATTTAGGGATACAGAGATGTAGAGATACAAAGCCACAGAATTAAAAAGATATAATGATATAAGAAATGCAAGAATTATAATAATAATAATATGTATGTTTAGTTCCCTGGGTAGATCACAGCAAGACCCTACGAGAACAAGGGATAGAAGAAACAGAAATACTTTTACTCAAACGGAAATATTTCTACAGCGACGCAAACGTAGACGCAAGGTGGGTTTACATATATTTTATTCAGAGGCGTACTCAGGAATTTGTCCAGGATAGGAGATAACATTTTTTATTCGTTCCATTTCTTTCCATAAAAATATTCCACTGTTTTTGGTTTATCACTTTTTTGACACAATATTCAATGCAGAAGGTTTAAATTAACCTTGAAATCCTCATATTTTAAGAGTTTCAGGTCGTCTTTTCATTCATATTCTTTATGGGTAACCCCGTACTTAAAATAAACCTGATTTTGTAAGTGTTATATGTGTTGTAGGGACCCAGTCCAGCTGAATCTGTTGTATGAACAGTGTTATATTGTATATATTGTAGGGAGTAGGGACCCAGTCCAGCTGTATCTACTGTATGAGCAGTATTGTATTGTATATATTGTAGGGACCTCCAGCTGAATCTGCTGTATGAGCAGTATTGTATTGTATATATTATAGGGACCCAGTCCAACTGAACCTGCTGTATGAGCAGTATTGTATTGTATATATTGTAGGGACCTAGTCCAGCTGAATCTGCTGTATGAGCAGTATTGTATTGTATATATTTTAGGGACCCAGTCCAGTTGAATCTGCTATATGAACAAGCTAAAGAACAGATCCTAGAAGGAACCCATCCTGTAGAGATAGAGAAGGCAATCACCTTCGCAGCCTACCAGGTACAACTGAAAGGGACTGGTCACAGATCTCGAATAAAGGGACCTAACTTTAAAAACAAATATTGTCTAAAATTTAATTTGAAATAACTCCATAATTACAGAAAAGATAAATGTTTCGTTTTAAACAAGTTTAAACAAACATTGCATTTGAAAAAATATATTTCTGAGTTTCCTGATTGGTATGTTTTGTCTAGGTTCAGATACAGTTTGGAGATCATAAAGATGACAAACATAAACCTGGGATGCTCGCAGAGTAAGTAGTTTACTTTTACAGGACAACATTTACAGGGTTCAACATAAAGAAATAGATTTTAGACAATAAAACCGATTCCTCGCTCCACCCTAAACTAATAAATTTGTATACAATCGCGTTTTGTCTACGATTTCAACAGCCTTTAAATTTTATTTCATTTAAACGCATCCGTTGACAAAAGAAATATGAATGAGAAAAGGCAAAAAATGGTCAACTTGGGATCGAAAGTCTCTGCTTGCTTGGACAAGGAAACAAACTGCTAAATCTGCGTGGCCCAAACTCAAGTTTTCTTATTGCTATATCTTTTCAGTCTGCATTCGTAGATTATTTGTATTCTGCTAGAGAAAAAATAGTCAAAGTTTGAAATATCATCAGGTTTAAACAATATAGAGATTAGAAAATTAGAAGTTGAGCGAGTTATTTTATCCTTTAAATCAGTTTATTTTTGAAAACATATAGTGGTAGAGATGCAATCAAGATAGACTTCAATAAAATATCACACTTTTTGGGTTACACATGCAAAAGTAAGAATTTTAACGAAACATTTTAAGTAATTTAAAGAATTCAAATATAGGATAAATATATGGAAGGAAAGTAGTATGAAAAATGAAAAAAAAATGGAGTGGTTTAAAGAAAAATAGAAAAAATGGAGTGGTTTAAAGAAAAAACATCAAGAATGGATTTGGAAAGGGTATGTGTAAATTGAGAGGTTTCTTTGAAATTTTAAATGTATCCTAAGTGTGCATGAAAGGTGTTTTGTGAGGTAGAGTGGGGGGGGGGGGGAATATGATGTGCAACTTTCCATTGATAGATATGTTTAACTCAAAGGGATGGTATTGATAAATTTATCTAATAAAAAGAATGTTAAAACTTTTGTAAAGTACGATTCTCGATCGGTTTTTATTGTCCAGAATTTATTTCAAATTATTCATGACAATATCTGAAATCAATGTTTTTCAAGGAAAAACAAAACAACCTATTTTTCCGCTGTCATTCAATCATTTGTCCTTCATTTTACTTTTATTTTTGCAACACATTATTGTTTTTTTTTTCATTGAAACAGGAATTATTTAACTTTATTTCTGAGGATTTTTTAACCCTTTGCATATTTTTAACTAAAAATGGTATTGTTTGTTTTTGTTATTCTAAACTGGTTTTACTGTAAGATCAATAAATCAATTCCTAAGTTGAATATTTACAATTAATCCAAGCAAAACTTTTACTTCAACTTTAGAAATAAATAATTAAATTATTTAATTTGTGCAAAAAATTCATTAGTCTAGGTTTGAGTTTTTTTTTGTTAAAGAGTTATATGACATAGATTTTTTGACAATTTTTGTTTGCATATTTTAATTTTTTTTTAGTTTGAAAGAATTTCTTCCCTTGTCCTTCATGAAGACTAAGAACGTTGAGAAGAGGATATTCGGAGAGCACCGAACCCTGGTCGGTATCTCAGAGATAGATGCTAAATACAAGTACGTCAAGCTAGCCAGGAGCCTGGATACATTCGGAGTTCATTTCTTCCTGGTTAAGGTAGGTCGTCTTCATCAGTTTCATAATCTGTAAAACTCCCATGCAAGGATTCACAACAAGCTTTGTCTTATCATGTATGACTGAGAAATTAATGTTTAGCATTTTTAAAACTTTTTTTTTATCAATTATGGTTTTACTACAACAGTAACTTGTGCATTGCTATTTGCAGTAACACATATAGGAATTATCGGAATTTAATTTAGAAATGACAATATCTTCCATATTATTGATCAGATAAAGGTTTTTAAGAGTATCGTTGTGAATCGGACATTGCCAATTTTGCACGGAAGGTCACTTGAAAGTACACTTACAGTCCTTTCAAGAGAACTTTTCTATTCGAATAAAAAGAAGATTTTTGAAAGAAAATGTTAAAAAATAGTTTTTAAAGCTCATAACTCAATGTGTTCTGTATATCTATCTATCTATCTATCTATCTATCTATCTATCTATCTATCTATCTATCTATCTATCTATCTATCTATCTATCTATCTATCTATCTATCTGCAGGAGAACAGATCTCTGCCCTGATCGCTGGCTACATCGACATCATCCTGAAGCGTCGGCAGCGTAAGGAGAGGTTTGGCGAGGACGGTAACGAGGAGGAGGTGCTGGAGGAGTCCTTCATATCTCCTGGCCGGGCCATTGAGATTCATGGACTCCCGGCCAACCTCAAGAAGGCCAAAACAGACTCTCTCGCCAAACCTGGCTTGCTTAGAAACTCTGGCGGTACGCTTAACAAATCTTGCTTTAAATCTTTTTATGCTTTTTCATTGTTATTATTCTCATTATAACTCTCACTATCTTGTATAGTTTGTATTATTTTTCTAATACTTATACAAGTAAATTATCAAAAACTTGCATCTTTATTTACATTTATTTTTCGAGTTTAAATATTTTTTGTGTACTTTTTAATGTCCCAAAAAAATTGTACTTGCTTTTAAAAATGTATTTTAGTTTTTTTAGTTTTAACACTTTATTACAGGGGAGAAGGTGGTGACTAGTGTACATGCCAGCGGTACTGCCGTTTCTATGAGTAACGGCATGCATAACGGCGGCGGTTTTGATCCAGGGGTAGGTTTACCGTCAAAAGCGCCGTTTTTCACTTATTTTGCCGTAAAATTAATTTCCTTTATTTTTTCACGCTGCAGCTTGGAGTGTAGAGATAACGGTAGATTTTTTATCAAAATTGATTTTTAAATTATTAAATTTATTAAATAATTTTAAAAACAATAAAAAATTTAGTTTTGCAACATTTAATGTTAAATTAAGAAGGTTTTATTTAGGCTCAATATCCCGAGGTGCATAATCTATTATCCGAGCCGCAGCGCGCACTTGTGAGCACAATAAGCGCGGGACAGGAGGCTATAGATAACGCCAGCAGGTTGCTAAACGAGAAAGCTAAATTACCACCCCTTTGTAATGATCCGGCCAGCATCATAGATATGTTTACCTCAATATGATGTGCAACTTTCCATTGATAGATATGTTTAACTCAATATGATGTGCAACTTTCCATTGATAGATATGTTTAACTCAATATGATGTGCAACTTTCCATTGATAGATATGTTTAAATCAATATGATGTGCAACTTTGTGACCTAATATCTCCGCCAGTTTTACACCAATTGAGTCAGAAAAGCAAAATTGTTGAATATAAAACTTTTCAAATGTTTTGTTTTATAAATAGCTCTTCAGAAAAAAATTGGTTTGAAAAGATGCGAGGTTGAAAACGTATTGACCAAAGAGGAAAAAGGGAAACGATTAAGTTTAAAATAAATGTTTTTTAACAAATTTCTACTAGGGATTATAGGACTATATGCGATATAATAATGACTTAACTAAAATAATTTATTTTCTGCTAATTCCTTACAAAGCGTTCTCTCTACTGCACGACGGAATTATGAAAATATACACAAATCCATGATTTTATGGCGAACCATAAATATTTTTATAGGCCTCGGCCACGGGATATCTTACATGGATCATTGAGCTCTGTGTACAGTGTCAAGTGTACAGCCAAGTTGATGCAAAAATCTATACTTTCTGAATTTAAATTTTGAATTGATGGACTCTCAGTTTATTTATTGATTCATTGAATAGATTATTGAAAAACCTAGAACCAGCACGAATAACTGAGATAAATGATGAAGAAAAAATTCTCCATGGTCCATAAATTCTGGCATCATTTTGAGGGGGAATCTTCCC